CAGTGAGGGAGTGGATGCTGGTGCTCTGCTGCTGCTGCTTTAATTAGCAACGTCAAATAATTAGCTTCATACTCGATGAAATTAATGTTGCTGTATGTTTTTTCTTTTTCTTATTTTAAGTTGATTTGTATTCAAAATTTTCCTTACTGCTTTCCTAATTCCCAGGTTTTGATAAAATCATGATTATTATTGGTCTGTTAAGAGAAATTCATGCTTAAATCTTGCAACTTGAAGGCTAAATTTGAACATCAAGAGAAGACTGCATTAGCCACATTTTGCTATAAAACGATTACAATTTGTTTTATCTATTAGCAAGATAGAGACTTTGAATAACAAAGACTTACAGAATATGGAATTAATACTTTTGCCTAGCACTGTCCATTTAACCATAAAATAAAGGTAATAGGAGCAGTAAACATATCAAGTGCATTGCAACCAGTTTCCCAAAAAATGCGTGAAACTTAAGAGGGAGTGACCAGCCTTTGGAAAGCCAAAGAAAAAGATCTCCAATTTGTAGCACTGTCCACGGGGGTAAAAAACGAATCTATGTGGCAGACACATCTCATCTCTGTAGAAGAGCAGATGAATTTAGCTTAATTTAATAGTAACAGCGGAGACTGAAATCTTGGGTCATAGTGACACCAAGGTTGTCGTGGGCCTGTAAGGCACTCTCAAGTAGCTAGTGGGCTGCCAACTGGTGACGTTTCTATGTTGTTCCTCTTGAACTGAAACAGCTGTGAGATCATTAACGTGCAGTTCACTACTCTGGAACTGCATTCACTTCCACTCAGTATCATTTAAAGTTTGCCTTTACTAAATTTATGAGAAATATTTTAATGAATGAAGGAGAAGGAAGAGTTCCGATGGCATCTGATATGCTTTAGAGAAAAACACTTTAAACCCTTCTGAAAAGCACCTCTGGCCAAGTAATTTAGGAATAAGAGACTCACCTACTTGTAAGCTCCCTGCTTCCTAAGACACAAACTATAGAAATTAAGGCACAAAACCAAGGCTGAGTCATTGTACGACCTACATAGCTGTACGTGGTGGCCCAGACACTAACATACAAGGGACTGATAACTGGAGGGGCAACCAGGCTCAGAATTACTGTTAGTTGTCCAAGATAATACTCCTAATTCACAGCAAAGCTAAGGCAAGACCCTCCTGTTTTGCAATTAATGACAAGTATGAAAAAAAATCTGTGGACAGTTTGTGACAGACACTGTTCTAGAGAACACAAAAACAAGGAAGACAGTCCCTGTCCTTGGGAAATAGAAAATCTATGAAGATGAAATTGATTTCAGCTCCCTTTATCCCATGCAAATTCATGTATTAATAATTAACATGTCAATTACATAATTCCTTTCTATTTATTAGCCCAAGTCCCCATGGCCGTCTCTACTTGCAAACACTTTGTAAGGGTAGTTATTTTACATGTGCTTGCTTGAAGGTAGGAAAATACTATTTCGTAAAATATACTGCAATTAAACATTTTTACACATTTAAATTGGCTTCATCCCATCTGTATATTAAATAATTCAGATTTACAGTATTAATACACATTTCTGAAAATTTTCCTCTTAACATAAATTTTTTCCTTAATCTCTGGTGTTTTGATGTATTTCCAAGCCTGTATTCCCCAAATGTTCCTTGCTCCTTGAAGGCAAGTAGTTTGTCTTTTGTTCCCCCAGTGGCTCACTGAATGAAGGGACCAGTGAGGAAAGGGTATAGCTGAGGCATGGGAAATGACACACCAGTGACTCTGTGAGTGGCCTCTGAAGCCTCCCTCGGTTTGAACTCTGGCTCTGCACTTCCCAGCTGTGGGATTTGTTAAGTAATCTACTTAACCTGCTTATTTGTAAAATGGGATAACGTCGCGGGCTTCCCATTAATTAAGAAAACGGGTAAGTCTGCCTGAATTTGAATCCCAGCATGACCACTGTACACCCTGGGTGAAGGTGCTGACCTGGTATGAGCCTCAGTTTCTTTGTCCGTGAAGTGGAGTCATAATGGCACCTGCCACACAGCACTCTGAGAGGATTAAATGAGTTCGTATATGAAAAGCACTACGACCAGGACCCAGGACCCAGGACCCAGGACCCAGGCAGTGTTGAATCAACGTTGGTTGTTATTTATGAGTAATTTTGGAGAAGCTACTCCTGACCACAGAAAGGTTCATGAAAGGAGATTATAAAATATTTTCCCCCGAGATCTCTTAGAAACCAAATTAACCAGAAGAAAGCCATCTAGTTGGTAACCGACATAGAAGATGAGACTAACGACTCTGGGTCACCGCACAAGTGACTCTTTCCAGAGACATTACAACGTATAACATGAAGACATAAGCTGAATATTTTATGACTAATTTGAGTAAGTTAATTAAGAGAAAGAAAGAAAACTTCATTTGGGTCGCTGTTTAAAAGGATCAACCAAGAGAGAAACGTAAAAGTAAGAACATTTATTGACTTGAGCGATACAGGTTACGGGCGCTATTTCCTGTCACTGAGAGCTTGCTGAGGAGCGGAGACTCCCGGAGGAAAGCAGACACGGACCTCGGGGCACCGGGTACTGGCCTTCAGCACAGGGCACTAGTCAAGGGGCCAGGAGGGCCACCAGCGTGGACTGTGTGGAGATGTCACCTGGGGCGGGCACTGCAGAGAACACGAATGTGCAGGCACTTTTTTCAAAGTTAGAAAGTGCCGTGTATAGAAATCATCCTTATTTAAATGGTCTCTAATACCAACCTAAACTCAGTATTTATGTCTTAAAAAAACCTAAAACAAAAACCTTCTTGACATCATAACTAAAATGTTCTGCGGTGGATCCAGCGGGCTGCACTAATGTAAAAGGCTCTGGAGTTGAAGCAAAATTTAGACTCACAGAACATTTGCATTGGAAGCAACTTCCAAGGTAACGCAATCTAATGTTCTCATTTTCTACAGGAAAAGCAAATCCCAGAGAGTAAGCCATCTTCCAAGGACACACAAGTTTGGGTGAGAGCCCTCACAGGTTCACCGCTCTTAAATCAAGAATCCTAATGTTCAACAGATCCAGAAAACTGAGGGTTTTATTCAGAAAATAAATCCATTGTATAGAAATTAGCTTTTGGGTTACTAACTACTAAAGCTAAGTGCTCACCAGATAGTCCAAGGCTCTATCTTCCCTTACTTGAGAGCAGCACAGGATGAGGCTGCAGGAGTGAATTATTTAAGAGTAGAGAGACCACTTCTGAAGATTACATGGAGCCCTTGAGAGCGCTTGTGGTGCAGCCCAGGCCTCTGCCACCCCCAGTTCTCAGAACAAAGCTCTGACCTTCTCTCCAGTTATGTTACAAGTGAAAGTCCCCATCTTCTGCACACATCACAACTTACAAATTGCTTTTCCAACTTTCACTCCACTTTTTTCTTTTCCCGACAGCCAAAGACCCCAGTTTTGAAGACACCCACCAGGCGGGTGCCGCAGGCAGGTGGCGCCCCCCACAGCTCAGTGACTCACGCCCGCCTTAGCTCAGCAGCAAACTCCGCAGGTCACAGCTACCTGGGGCCGACAGGGGACAGAGCAGATTCTTCTCTTCCTGTCACTGGGACTCAAATTCCTAGAGCTTATTGTTATTAATAACACAGAAATCCACTTACAACATGGTATGAAGGGAATCAAGCAAAACTCACATCTATATCCCCTCTGACCACGTGCACTGCTGATTAGAGGCAGGAAGGGGCCATGGAAAAACTTTGCTTTTGGGTGTTTTAACACCATTTTGCTAACAACAGAAATACCTGGAATGTAAAATAATAGAGCAATGTAAGGGAAGCAGGTGATGCTACATGGACAGTACTGAAGATGCTTAAAAGAGGTCTTCAAAAAACAAGGCAATTTTCAAATGGTGAAGTAAAGAAAGCTTTCCTGAGAAAGAGCAGGTAAAAGCTGAGCAGGTGCCTGGCCTCCTCAAAGAATCATCTGGTCTTGCAGGTGCTTACTCGACGGCTGGAGAGGCTCAGAGAGCCTCCACACAGCATGTTTTCCCGACGGACACAAACACTCTTGGAAATTCTAGGGCTTTATTAAGTCAGGAGACCCGGCTCTACTGTGGAGGCGGTGAACATTTCATTTCAACACAGTTTCCTGGTGAGCATCGTGTTCACTTGGAATGTTCCTGGTACTTTCAGAAGTGAGGAAACTCTGGGAATTGTGCCAGATTATCTCATTCTCTCTAAATTATCCATTAATGTCTAATTTAAATAAATAGAAAGAAGGTGCTAAATTCAAATGCCTTACTGCCAAAAACGACTTAAAAAAATATATGTATCAGGTTAAAAACCCTGATAAAAGGATTCTGCATGTATAAGACAAAACAGACGTCAACTTCCAGGAAGGCAGAAGGCAGATGGTGCATTTTGGGCACAGTTCCACTTATTTTTCTACCTTTGCCTTATCTTCCTTTTTAAAAATATGTGTCCATTTCACACTTTGTCCTAAGAGCAGAATGGTAATGACTGTGACAAATCAGAACCACTTTCTACCTGGTAAGAGCACTTTGGAGACAGACGGGGAGAGCCTGTACTGGGGTGACATCCTCCTGAGTAGGGGGCACACTGTTATAAAGATAATTACAGAGAGGGAGGAGCCAAACCAGAATTCATGATGCAACCTAAGTTTTAAATATGAAACTTTTTGAGGACAAGGTTTGTGACATTTTCTCAACAAGCATTTAGAGCTCCATCCCAGAGACAAGGGTTTACTCCTTTATTATTAATAACACATGTATGAAGAGCACTTACCGCAGCGTCTGATGCATGAATACTTAATGAACAGTTGCTATAATTATTCTTCCCATCACTATGGGCAACTGAAGGACTGTGGGTTTGCATTAACCTCACAAATCTGTCAGGTAACAAATAACGGGATCTTAAAAGATGTTTATACTGTTAAGATCTTGAAGGACTAACATTAACAAAACTTCTACAACCTACTGCAGTGCATTTTGGAGAAACTTTTCTTACCTTGTGGTCCATACTGGCTCATCTGTGCGCCGTAGGTCCCGCTTGAGCTACTCTGCTGAAAGCTGCTGATTCCAGGATGCACCTGGCCTCCAGGAGAGGGATGAGGCGACATGGACGGTCCTGTCTGTTGAGGTCCGTACTGAGACATCTGCGGGTTCCTTTGTGTGCCTGCCATAAAACCTAAGTGGGAAATAATCGGAAATATATAAATGCAGGGGACAAAAGTGGGCATGGAATTGAGTGGAAGGTGGATGGGAAAAAACTGATGCTGCAGGATTCCTCTAAAGAGCATCTAAAGACATTGCACCCCTAGTGTGCAGGGTGTGCAGGGCCCCAGGGGCCACCCTAGTCCCAACCCTGAACTGTCATCAGAGTTCCTGGGAACCTAGAGGATTGTGGACTTGAACTAGGGAAAGGAGGACAGGGAGAAAAGGCAAGTAACCTTAACCTCTCTTGACCTCCACTCCTGCCAGGCTGGACATGTTGTGCACACCTCTCAGAGCCTCTGCCCACTTCCTGATCTCTGGGGTGCATGTACTCAGTCACTCAAACACTCCACCCCTCTCTTAAGCTCCGGCCGGCACCCAGCTCTCCCCGGCACGTAACTACTTCTCTCCCCTCTGCTCTCCCAGAGCCACACCTGTTCACCTCGACTCCTGCGTGCTGCAGACTTACTAGCTCATACTAGCCCTCGGGGGTGAGCTGTGAGTAAAAGGAGGGTCTGAAGTGTAACCTGCTATTCCAGAACAGACTCTGACTTCCTCCCGTGAAGTTCTGCCTGCGGTCTCCCCAGCTCCACCAAGGGCACCACCACTCACCCCAGGGCAACACCCATGATCCCTCCCCGACTTCCCAGGGTGCGATGGAGCCATCGGCTCCTGAAACGGATCTCAGGTCGGTCTTCTCCACTTCCTCGTCTACAAAAGCCTCGCCCAGCTACCGTCCTCTCTCCCCACCGCTAGCTCACCCCTCTCTCCTGTTCTGCACCTTTTGGTTCACTTTCACAAAGCTGCCAGAATGATCGCTCAGGAATAAAAAAGGAAGTTAGAGTATATCTTCTCTGCATAAAACACCCCCAGGGGTCTCATTGGATCTGGGAACAAAATGCAAACATCTGACTATGACCTACAGGCTCGTCCGTGGTCTGGGGTTGCCTTTCTCACTTTAACCCCACTTCCTGTAGTTTTCGCTCCTTCTCACTATCTTGTACGTCCACTGGCCTTCTCATGGTTCTTAAAGGATAACTTCAAGCTCTTGCCCTTGACAAAACCTACTGTCTCCTATCCCCCCTTCTGAGAATGTTCTACTGCTGCTGGTTCCTTCCCGTTCTCCAGGCCCGCCCGCCCGCCCTGACGCGGCACCACTCCTTGACTTTCTCATTCATTTTCCCTCAAAGTGCTCTTTGTAACCTGTAATCATCTTACTCTGTTTCTGACTCACTTAACCTCTCTGTTTCCCACTAAAACATAAGCCCCATGAAGGCAAGATCACGTCTATGTTCCCGGCTGCATTCTCAGTGCCCTGCAGGGCGTCTGGCAAGTGACAGGTGTCAGAAACTACTTACTGAGTGAATGAGTATTAAATTCCTCATGAACTCAGAGTGTTGAGCACAACACAGTAGGTGCATAGCAGGTAGTTGTCCAAATGGGTAAAGAAAATACATTTTTAAATTATGCACTATGTCATCCGGGTACCTCCCCATCATCAGCAGTTCAGCCAAATACAAGTAAGTATGCAGAAGGAACTCTGAAACACTCATTTAGACAAGGAATACCCCAAGACAAGTATCTTAGGAAAAGATAATTCATCAAACCAGCAAACCAAGAGCAGTTTGAAGAACAACTCCCAGAGCCCAGGAGTGAGAGCTGATGAGAGCTCATGTGCGTCAGGTGAAGGCTCTGGCTTCTGCAGGAGGAGAGCCGAGAACAGTGGCTCCTACAGAGCCTCCTAAGGCAGCCGGAGGGGACGATCGTGCCTGGATCCCACATGGTCAGCTTGAGTTTAGGGTGTTAAATGGAGAAGGGTATTTACAAAGGTCACGGTTTACACTTCAGTAAGGGAAAAAAAAGATCTATTAACAGTGCTTCTGTCTGAAGAGATAGACATAAAATAGAAGTAGAGCTCTTCCTTTTTATTCTATTTCATTTATTTATAAAGATAAGTCTTGTGAAATTGGGCTCAACTGGCAGCTCCCAGATATAAATCATCATAGAAAATATGTTTGCTTTTTTCAAATCTGAAAACAAACAGAAATCAGAGTGCTAAAATTACTATAAATGATTGCATCTTAAGATGTAACATGAAATATTTATCTAAGCTTTACTGTGAAATTCTCAAGAGTTTCACATAGAGTTGTTTAATAAAAGACGTGTTTAAATTTCATACAGATTGTATAAGTTTTCCTTCCTTTTTTTCTTTTGGACAGTGACTGCTTTCTTCTTCATTAGTTAAGGAAAATAATACGCATCCTTTTTTTAAGCATTAAATTTCACTTCAACCATGAAAGTGTCCACGCCGAAGGATCTAGAACCTCTGATAACACACTACATCCTTAACTGAGTATTGCCTCTGGGACACTTACTACAGGCTTAAGGTTTGTTCAGATGACTTTTAAGAATTCTTATCTGGACAAGTTACTTTTTTATTTCTGACTCTTTACTCAGTCCTTAACACACACACACACACACACACACACACACTTGAACTATCCACTTGAACTATCTCACTCATCACTGGAATTTTACAGAAAATCAACTTTATGAAAAGGCTCCAAAAGAGGTGGAATGTTAAAGCTAATCCCAATGGAATGTGTCACAGCATCAAACTCCACAACTTAGAGACAAGCTTCTATGGAGTATGGAATCCACTTCCTTCCACAGAAATTAAAATCGGAAAGCTAATTTCTTTTCTCTGTATGCTTTTGCAGTGGCACCACTTACAAGAGTTCCCTGAAATCTTGTTTTATATTTTTGGTGAGATTCATCCCTTTCCATGTAATCCCCAAGACAATGAAAGGAGATGACATAACTTCCCTGACTCTTTTTATGAGCTATAATCATCTAATGGCGGTCAACCGGGAATAGAAGGCCTGGATTACAGTCTTGTTTGTGTCACTGGCTCAGAATCCAGCATGGGAGACTGATATGTAAATAAATATACTGCAGTGTGTGTATTGACCAAACCAGCTGTGTGACCTTAGGTGAATCATAATTTATCTGAGCCTCAATTTCCTCATCTTAAAATGAACACGAGGCTCCTATAAGATTAAGTGAGACAGCATATGAAAGTGTTATGTAATCTGAAATGTATCTGATATACAAAAATAAGAGATTATGACGGTATTTTTCTAGTTTATAAACCACAGTCCTATGGAAGTTTGTTCCTTCAGTCTGATTAACGCTGGCAGAGGCCACACAGTCTCAGCAGGAAAGCGGTACAATCTGACTTGCATTTTTGAAAACTAATTCTACTGTAATAAGCAGCATGAAAAAAAGGACTGAAGGAGAGTAAGGCTAAAAGTCAGAAGACTAGTTAGGAGGTAGGTAAAGAGGTACATAATATGTAACCACAGTTAAATGCCAGCAGTGATGCTACTTAAAAAAAAAAAGCTTCCATTATGGATATAACCATATTTTTAAAAGGTTAATGAACATTATCATAATCTAAACAAACTGATGAAAATTAGCAGACATTGACAAAAAAAATTCTACTTTTCATTCTAAAGATAGAAACTCTGCATGTCTATTATTTGTTTCCTCATCCATTAAATAAGGACCATTGTATCTCTCTCATAGTGTTGCTGTGGGGATTGAATGAAATAATATGTAAAAAATTTATAGTAGTACCTGGCACACAGCAAGCTCTCAATACTTATTAGCTATTACTATTATAATATATTCAAAAAAGGGAAGCAAGAGAGGTAACATGGTGTGACAGCAAGGGAACTGAGCTAGGATGCTAGTCGTGGGCTTCCATGTTTGCTGTGCAGAACACAGCAATTAACCTGACCTTTTTGGCCTCAGTTTCCTTACCTGTTAAATGGGGAGACATGCAATACTTGTAGCAGTACTTCCAGCTCAAGTTCTCTATGATTCTGGCTTAAACTTTATTTTTTTGGAAAAATCTAATTCAAGTCTGTAATCTGTAAGTATATTTATTTGAGGGTAGTCTTCATTTTGTTTTATTTTAACCTTTATTCTGGATGAAATAAATATTAAAATGCTTCCAAAAAAATCAAACTTCAACCAAGAATTTTCTATTTATGGTAACATATTTATTTGATTGTATCTTGCTTCCTTTAGAAAGTTATTATAAAATGGCAGCTTGTAATATAGCTTATGAATAGAAAAAATGACAGCTGAGAGAATGAAGCTGCTTTTTAAAAAGTTGTGAAACTGTTCTAGTTACAAGCCATCTGAGTTTTAGAAAACCAAGCTATCTGGTAAGGAAAATTTAGAAAGTGCAAAATGAATTTCCTACATATTACAAATACTAGATGCATTATGGAATTATATGCTAGGTAAATAATCTAACATGGAAAATTCAAACCTTGGAAAAAGTACTAATTTAGATAATTATTATTTACATTATACAAAAGGACTTACTGAAAACTCTTAGAAACTGGATGAAAATATGATTTATTCATTTCATTCATAACATAAATCCACAGGTTTATATAAATGGATTTACGATTTTTGAGTCCTTCATTACACGTGTATGCAAATCACAAATACTTGTACGACCAAACTCCGAATGAAGAGGCACAAGCTATGTTCTCAGAGAACAGGTAACAGTAATGTGAAACAGATACAAATTGCACCTGTTGGGAATCAGATGTGGGTTACAAGCTGCCACCACCAACCACTGTGCGGACCCACAGGTTCTCTTGTAGGAAACAGTGAATGCATTTCCTGTCCTGGCTTATAAGATCGTCCTGAGAGTCAAGTAAGAAAAACCTATGTGAATGTGTTTTTCTAAACTGGAAAACACCATGACAACACTAAACAAAGGCTTTGCTATTGCCTTTTGAGTGATGCCGTAAAGCCCTTCTTCCTCCACTGTGTGAGTTCCTAACTAAGCTATCATACTGGTAACTCAATCCACAATAATGATACACAAATCTTCTACCAGCATGCCCCAATTTTACCCTGGCATTAATGGATCTGTGGGAAGAATAAGAG